CCTGGCCGCCCCGCGCCCGCGCCGCGCTCCGCTTGTGGCTGGGCTGCGTCTGCTTCGCACTGGTGCAGGCGGGTAAGGGGGCCCGGGGCGGGGGGCGGGCGGGCTGGCGCCGGGCGGGCTACTGTCCCGCCCCAGCCACCGGGGAGTCCTCGGTTCCCTTCCCTGCTCCCTAGGGCCCCCCTGTCTCGCCCCGCTCACTGCTTCCCTGCCCCAACCTCTTCCCTACCTCCTTGACCCCCAGACCCGTCCTTCAGCTCCCAAACCCCTTCCCATCGCCTCAGCCATGACTTTTCTAGGATCTTTTGACCCCCAGCTCCCTAACCCATTCCCCTAACCTCAGCTGTTTGCCTCAGGGTCCCTAGTTCCCTTCTTTGGTCTAGGGAGCAGCTGAGGACATCAGTCCCCCACCTTGGGCCTCCCTCCCTGTCCCCAAAGACCTCTCAAAGCCCTGCAGGCCAACTCTGCAGGAGGAGCAGATGGGATCCCGTTGTGCACAGTATGTGTGAAGGGGATGGGGACTGGCACCTGAGGGTGCAGGGCGGGTGGCGGTGGGCCCCTGACACCCCAAGCTGGTGCAGTGCCTGGCCTGCCCCATGGGGCCTGGCCTCATCCTCACCCAGCCTCTCCTGATGCCCTGTCTCTGCCCCTTCTGGCTGCCACTGCCTCGCTCGTCTCTCACTCTACCCATCTATCTATACGTGGCTCAGCGCTCTCGCACGCGTGCGTGCTCCCTCTGTTTCCGTCTCTGTGTCTCTCCGATGCCCCACTTGTCTGTTCCTTGGCTCCGTATCTGCCGCCCCGCCACCTGTCTGTCTCCATCTCCATGTCTGGCTCTGTCTCCCCCCCCAGGCTCCAGGCCCATCCCCTTGGACCTTGAGTTCACTCATGTGAGGGGTGAGGGGCTACTGCTCAGGCTCAGGTCTTCGCTTGCAGCACCTGTCCCTTGGGAGATACAGAGGCTTGTGTGACTCCACTGTCCCTCTCCTGGAAGGTTCTTTCTTCCCTGACCGCCTCCTCGCCAATCACTCTCCCTCCTACTTCCCTCCTGTCTCTTCTCCACTGATTGATTCCCCATTCATCCTCTTTCCCCTGAAGGCCCTACCCTGTCCTCTCGACTCTCCACTGAGCAGCCCTGCTCTGAGCGACCCCATCTTCCCCTGCCACCTCCCCGCCTGCCTCTAGGGGCTGGTGGAATGTGGAAAGGAGGCTCACATAGATCCTTCCCCAAGCTTCGTTCTGCCTGGGTTACCACAGTTCTAGGGGTACCTCTGTTGCTTCTCACGACCATCCTAGGGCTCATGCTCGCCAGGCTCTTCTCGACCTCTGGGTCTTTCTCCTTCTCTCAAGGTCACTTGACAGTGCAGTACTGTAGAAAGAGCCCTGGACTGGGAGTCCTTTCCATCAGCTAACCTTCAGCTTCTGCAACGCAGCCCTGATCACCTAGTCCCCTCCATACCTGTCCCTGTAACTCTAACCACCCATTCCTTAGATCTGGGCCTGGCCCAGGCCCGTCAACTATAGTCTTGGACCCCTAGTGGGGCCAGGCCGTGGCCAGCAGGGCCTTCCATCCTCACAGGAGCCTGGAGCCTCTTGGGCCTGGCTCTTCAACCCACCGAGGAACTGAGAGCCATATTGCTGACCCCATTTGAGGCCTTGGTTTCTTCCCTCCCCCACTGTGTGGCCTTCCCCAGGTTTCCCTTTCTCACTTGTAAGACAGTGGATCTGGGGCTCACAGCAGGGGATACTCAGGCTGAGGTGTCTCCCCACCCCCCAGACAGTCCCTCCGCCCCAGTGAACGTCACTGTCAGGCACCTCAAGGCCAACTCTGCAGTGGTGAGCTGGGACGTCTTGGAGGATGAGGTTGTCATCGGATTTGCCATCTCTCAGCAGGTAACCCTCGATGGTCCTTGGGAGGGAAGGACACATCAAGATAGTAGTGGCAGATGCAGGTGGAGGTGCAGTGGTGGTGGTGGTGGTGGAGAAATCGAAAGCAAAAAGGAACCTGGGGCAAGAGAGAGAAGCAGCAAGTTGCACACATGGCTTAAAATTGGGGCCCCAGAATAGAATCAGTCAGTGAGGAAGGGTTCAGGAACTTTCAGCTGGAACACAGGAATTGAGAGCAAGGCTTTGATCTCAGACACATCTGCATTTAGGACCTCGCTCTGGTGCTCACTAGATGTGTGGCTTTGGGCAACTTCCCTAACCTCTCTGAACCTGTTTCCTTCCCTGTAAAATGGAGATAAAGAGCAGAGGTGATGGGATGATTAAGATTGTATATGTAAAGGATTTGTCACTACTGGGAGGTGTGCAGAAGCAGGGCTGATGACTGGACGCTGACAACAGCGGGCTGGCGCTTGCCTTTGCAGAAGAAGGATGTGCGGATGCTGCGCTTCATCCAGGAGGTGAACACCACCACGCGCTCATGTGCCCTCTGGGACCTGGAAGAGGACACTGAGTACATCGTGCACGTGCAGGCCATCTCCATTCAGGGCCAGAGCCCAGCTAGCGAGCCTGTGCTCTTCAAGACTCCACGTGAGGCGGAGAAGATGGCCTCCAAGAACAAAGGCAGGCCTGGGTCACTGTTAGGAGGAACAGGGGTGGGTGAGGGGTGGTCAGGACCAGAGCAGTAGGTGGCTTGAGGAACACTCTCTCCCCCATTGCTTCCCCTTCCCCCCACCACCAAGTAAAGAGAAAAGGTTCCCCCTAATCCCTTAAGACATTGGATATATAAACACCTGCCTTTGGATTGAGTCCTATCCCTACCACCCCAAGTAGCCATCAACATGTTCTAGAATCTCTTTTCTGTTAGATGTGTGGGCACCCATGGAAATAAGCACTATTGTCTTAGGCTTGGCCTTAGAGGAATTGCTAGGGGAGGAAAGGAGCCCCAGACCTAGTGTCCCTCTCCCCACAGATGAGGTAACCATGAAGGAGATGGGGAGGAACCAACAGCTGCGGACGGGCGAGGTGCTGATCATTGTCGTGGTCCTGTTCATGTGGGCGGGTGAGTCTGGCCTCCAAGCCCTTCTTCTTCACCGAGCCTCTGGGAGATGGAGGACCCTGACCAGGCCCCCTCTCTCACAGAAACAGAGGATAAGGGGCTGGAGATACCTAAGAGGTGAAAAGTCTCCAAGTCCTACCTGGGACAGCGCTGGAGACCAGATCTGAGCCCTTCCCTAACCTGCTCATCACCAAAATAACAGTAGCTTGATAGCTGCCTTATAGGATTATATGAGTTCTTGCCTTTCCTCTCCCTCAGAAGTGGTTCAGCCTCCTGGGGGTGGACACGTCCACAGTTCCTTTGCCTTCTGGCCATGGCTGTGGCCTCTCCTTCCTCTTCTGGGTTGCTGTGCCTCCAGAGGCTTCAGGCCTGTTCGGTTCAGGGAAAGTCACTGCCTGGCCTTAGGCTTGGGACACTCTCCTAACCTACCCATCCTTTTAGACCTAGATCTGAGACAGTCACCATGAAAACTCCTCCAGTCCATCCATCAGAATAGCCCCCCGCCTCTGTGCTCACACCATTTACCCCTCTCTTTAGCCCTCCTTCTATAAGTTAGTTGGGCTCATGTCTCTCTTCCCCTCGGTCTGTGAGCTCCCTGAGGATAAAGACCAAGTTCCATTCATCTTTGTACTCAACCAGCATTTACTGAACAACCGCTCCATTCCAAACAGTAGTGCTACAATCATGACTAAGGAGAGCCCTGTGCTTGCAAGGAACTCAGTCTGGGAGAAGCCAGGCCTGAACCGAACTATAGTTCAATGTCATGAGTGCTATAATTGTACCATGTATGGGAGCAGAGAAGGAATTAATTCTAGGGCTAGGGGAAGAAATCAGGAAAAACACATGAGATAACATTTGAATCAAGCTTTGAAGGTTGAATAGGAGTTCACCAGGCAGCCAAAAGAGGAAGGGTATTTGGGGTGTGGTGTGTTCAAGATACAAATCAAGCTCAGTCGGGTTCAGTGCAGCTGCAATCCAATAAAGAAGGTAGAAAGTGGGGGAGTAAAGGATGATGAGGCTACAGACTGGAGTCTTTTGAGAGATTTGAATACCATGCTAAAGCTTTATTAGCATGGTGGTTGAAAAGGCAGGCTCTACTGTAGAAGCATTTGGAAAAAAGTGTTCCTTAGGAACATAGAAAAACAGGCAGGGAGGAAAAAAAGGTTGTACCAAAGAAGAGGTTTGCTTATGGTGCATTATTAGACTTGACGCAGACAGTATTTTCATAATCATAACAATATAAACACACTGAATTAACCCAAAATTGTGATGTGATTCTGTTAGGATGATGGGGAGAGAAGTAGGGGAAGTTGTTAGGCTTTATCTATCATGGTGGGAAGTCAACAGATATCTAAAATAGATCAAAAAATAACACTATAAATATAGAGGAAAAATGGGGGAAACACCTAAAGAATTGGAGTTGGCTGCCTTAATACTTTATTTTCAAAACATATTATGTTCATGCATTATTTAGTTTGATAAATCTAAACATTCAACAGACGGCAGGCCCTGGAGTTCCTGTCCCAGCTCCACCACTGTGTGACCTTGAGCTAAGTTAGTTAAACTCTCTGCGTCAGTGTCCTCACTTGTAACCTGGGAATGATAATAATAGGTGCCCTCATAGAGTTGTGAGGATTAAGTGAGATAGAACATGTCATTGCACAGTACAGGGCCTGGCACATGCTCGACAAATGCTATTGTTGTTTCTATTTTTCCCTCAAGGAAAATGGGAGCTGTCAGAGGTTTAAAGGAAAGAGGGGAGGAGACTTGGTCAGATGCATGTCGTGGGAAGGTCAGCCCAGCAGCAGTGAAAGGGATGGCTGGTGAGGGGTCAGGTGGGGACAACCAGAGGGAGGCTGCTGCAGTAGTGCAGGTGAGAGGCCATCTGGAGAAACCCTCGTTCCCACTAGACTTTGTGCGAGTGGGAATGTGGGAACGAAGCGGGTGAGGCAGGAACTCAGGCCCTGGCCCCTGATTGCTCCCACTTGTCCCCTGCCCAGGTGTCATTGCCCTCTTCTGCCGCCAGTATGACATTATCAAGGACAACGAACCCAATAACAACAAGGAAAAAACCAAGAGCGCGTCAGAAACGAGCACGCCAGAGCACCAGGGTGGGGGTCTTCTCCGCAGCAAGGTAAGGGCAAGACCTGGGCCTGGGTGGACGTCCGTGTGCATGGTAGTCCCTGGATTGCAGAAAGGGTCAGCTCAGGGCCTGGCATGGCTGCAACTGGGCAGAGCTAGACTTGGCTGCTGCCTGTGTGACACAGGGAACGCTGCAAATTGATTTTGGATCTTCTCCTTTTGTAGGGTGCCAGGGGCCCACACTGGGGAAAAAAATAAAAAGGTAGCCAGTGGGGAGGGCAGAACTGTTGGTTAGTATGGGACAGCAAGAGCAGGGTGGGTTCTGGGCTCATTCCTGCTCCTGCTGTGCTGTGTGACCTTGGGCAGGTGCTTCACCTCTGTACCTTCATTTCCTCTTCTGTAAAACAGATATGAAAACCTTTTCAGTGCTTGCCCTGAGCGGCTCAGAAGACAGTAGAGAATGTGAGAGGATCTCATGGTTCTGACGATGATTATCCAACAAACATCTGGCCCTCTCTACATCTCCTCCTCCTTCCATTTCCTTGTACCCTCTGGCTTACTGTCCTCTCTCTTGGCTTCTCTCTTTCTGGCGCATTTTCCTGAAGCCTCTTATTAACCCCCATCTCCAGAAGCACCTCAACAATGTCAGTGGCTGAGGCTGCGCTCAGAGGGATGACTGCTGGGGGAAGACTGGGTACCAGGGGCCATGGGCCCAGGGCCCGGGACCCAGTTTTGGCCATTCAGCTGAATGAGGCCAAAGGCTGGGTTTGAAAAGGCAGAGAGACAAGACGTCCGGGCAGGGCTACTGTTTTCTTTCCACAAGGGACAAGAGCCTAGCTTTTAGGCTGTAGCTGTGCTGCTCCCTTCCTTCTATCCTCTGTTTCCAGCCTTGCAAAAAGTCTATTCAATTAGCCCTGGCCGCTTCTCTCATTTTTCTCCTCCCAGTTTCCAAACAAGCCCTCAGTGAACATCATTGAAGCGTGACTGCGTCTGCAGAGAGGAGGATTCCATTTTTCTTCTCTGCTGGTTCCCAGGTCCATGGGCACAGGGAGAGGGATGACTGCAGCAGTGGGGAGGAGGCACAGCTAGCTGCACAGTTCTCCCTCTTCCCCCTGCCCTAATCTGATGAAGGAGGCTACAAACCCAAATTCTGCAAAAAAAGCCACAAAACTAAAAGGCCTGGCCCCATTCTAGAAAGGCAAAGCTGCATGAGACACAGCCTTCTGCCTCCTGGCCTCTTCTGGACTGCCTTCCTCTTTGAGAAAGTGCACAAAGCTCTGGGAGATGACAAGCACTAAGACCGACTCAAGCTGTGTCTTTCAGACCAAGGAACATCAGGGAAGCTGTGGGGCTGCCTGCCATGCAGGGTCATTCGTGGCTGCCATCAAGCCTTTTCTGGATTTAGCCATCAAGGACTTGTTTGTGGTGTGATGCACACCTTTGCAAGTGTATAAGATGTTATCTGTTACGTTTCTTTTGGAAAACAAAATTGGAGGGCTCCACTCCTGAAGGCAGAGGGATTCCCTCAAGGACTGAGCTGGTCGCCTGTACCCTCTATCTTCAGTCTGGGGTCTTAAGAAGACCTAGAAGGCCTTGGTCCCATTTCTTTAGGAAGCATCTTTTGGAGTTTCAGCAACGTGGGTTTGGACAACTGAAAAGGCATATTCAGCATTCTAGGGTCTGACAAACCACCCACTCTGGCGTGGAAGCTGCTGGAAGGCAGGCATGAGCCATTCTCCATGGACAGGCAGAGCAGCCCTGGCTATCACCACTGGCCTCTGGGGTCTTCATATCTTGCCATCTCATCCAGGGTTCTGTGAAAGGTACCCAAGGTCCTCATGTCCTTCCCTAGAGCCCGAGTGGTATGAGATGACAGGTCTCTCTCTCTCCACTGCCCCTTTCTGGTTAAAAAAAAAAATGGTGCTTGATGAGGGAAAGTAGACTCTTCCCTAGGACTGACGAGATATGGCTGCCAAATGCCTGCATGGGAAGAGGTGGACCTCTGAATCTTCTATTGGTGGCCAAGGATGGGAGCGTGGGAGTACCACACCTAGCACAAGCCTGGCACACAGTAGGCACTTGGTAAATATTTGTTGAACTGAATGATAAGAGCATTGGCCCCCAAGCCAGAGAGCCAAAAGCCATCACCCAATGACCGCTCCTTCCTTCCGGTCTACAAGAGCTCTCAAGGCTGGGCCCACCACCACTCTGCTTTGCCCAAGTGTGGCAGCACAGGGGAGAAGAGACAGGATAAAGGGCAGATGTCAGCAATACTAAGGGCTTCCTCATGGGAGGGCATGAGGCTCCACTCATTGTCTTGTGACTTCCATCCCTGCTGAATGGGGCTGCAAGGCCAAGGCTCCTTAGGGGAGAGGTCCTTACCTCTGATCCAGTTAGAGCAATAACCACTTTTTAAATGTAAAATAAAAAGACAAATGAAAAGGCACATCCTTGTCTTCTGGTAAATGCCCAAATGTTGCCCTCTTTTTCTGGCAATTGGCAGCAAGTCAGGATGTGTGGAGGAGGGAGTCAGCTCTCTCTCTCCATTTTGGCCTGCAGCTTCTTAGGGACATGCCTGCCAGCCAAGCTGGAGTTGGAAGGGAAATCTCGAACAGATGGGGGTGCACGTGTAGAAGAAGAAAATAGCTGCTCCATCATTTTATTACTGAGGCTCCCCGAACCAAGCTTGGGCTGCCTCACTGGATAGGTATGCAGGCTGGTGCTCAGTTTTTAAAACAAAGGGTTTCCCCCTCAGGATGGGACTGGGTGCTTTCCCTGGCCAAAGGAAGACACTCCTATCTCTCCTCAGGGAAAGGAAGGACATAAAGAAGAACTGCAAAAGCTGCTGTCTGCAGCTCAGTATGCACAGTGTGCTGTTCTGGGCTGTTAAAGGAACACCATTATGATCCCAACAGTAGGCTGAAAGGTAGAGTAATGACGCTATTAGCCAGTGAGCAAACCAGTAAATGGGGTACCTCAAACATTCCTGTCCAGAGCTAGGAAGAGCTTGGAGAGAAAATGTCAGGTGAGCAGGGGTTTCAGTTGGCTGTTCTAGAAGATTCTGAAAGCAGAGGGAAAACAGGGCTTAGAGGCTGGTTAAGAAAATGGGAAACCAATTAGCACACAGAACTCTAAGCCAAACCTCAGAGAGATATTTCCTAGGGCCTCTGTGCCCACCTAGTGCTAAATGATGAAGCCCCAAAGTCAGCATTAGGTATAAATAGCTGTCATTGGGGCTTGGGGAACTCTGTTAATGGGGGTTTCCTGTGCCTGCAGTACATCATAAAAAGTACAAGGGAAGAGAAGGAAACAATACTCCTGGCTTAGATGAAACTCCATTCCCTATAGTTGCCTTCCTAAACCTTCAAGTTCTACAATGATCAAGCTTTTCCTGAATCAACTGTAGTTGCAAAGTTGAACCCTACAGCTAGACGTGTGGTCCTTTCACCACCACTCACGTGGATCCGCAGAAATTCCTCATAATTGTGGAAGGGCACAGGCAGGTCTTTGAGACTGAGAACTTACTTGCAGACCACAGCAGGCCTGTGGGAGGAATGTTGGACTCAGAGGTAGGAGACCTTGCCTTGTAATCACCTAACACCTCAGGCAAGTTACTTCTGAGAGTAGGCCTTGGTTTCCCGAGCTGCCAAAAACAGAGGGGTTAGAAGAGAAGATTCCCAGAGCTCTTGGGAACAAGAGGGAAACCCCAGAGTCTGAGAGGAGGAAGATAGACTGGTGAGTATCTCTGTGGGAGGAGTCCTTTTCTTTTCCTCCTCCTGTCCCTTCAACCCCTAGCTTTTCAGGATAGACCTCCTCTAGAATCCATTTTTAAGATCTCTAACTCAGCCCTTTATATGTAACATCTCACCAATCCATCCACATGTTTTAGAAGTCTACTTTATTTCTTACCCTCTTTAAACCTATTTGACATTTCTTGGATTTTGCTTTTATGAAGTAGCTTCCAAGAACAAACAGCTTCTATAATTGGGACACCCTGCCCACCCCACTCCCTCACCAGCTACAGCCCCACCAAGCTCCATCAGTACAAATAGTCCCGAACCCTCAAGTGCGGCTTGAAGCTCAGTTGAGGGAGATCTTTGTGTACAAATAGTTCTTTAGTGATACAACATTTCAGGACTATCACTCAGACTGCTTTAAAGATTATCTAAAAGATTACATTCCACCCACTTCTCAATGGGTGCTTGGGGAGGGCCAGAGTTTCTGTCTATGGCATGTTCCATTTGTCCTAGGGGGAGGACAGGTGGGGAGGAATGACAGGGCAGGAGCTTGTTCACTAAGTTATTCCATCACTGACCAGCTGACACTTCCTGTGACAAGTGGAAATTTTTTTCCTGACAGGTGCTCTGGCATACAAAGCAAGCACACCCTAGAATCAGCTTAGGAATAATTCTGTTTTCCCTCAGAAAAGCAGGACAACACTAAGAGAGGCAGAGAACTCTGCTTTGTAGTTTTAGGTAATTGGGTTTTTTTCTTCCTATGAAAGTTCAAAATGGGCTGGTTAGAGAATGAGCCCATTCATCTTAAAGAAGGACCATTTCTCCTTTTCCTCTCACTTTTCCCTAACATAAACAAAGGATCAGATATCTATACCTGACAGGAACAAAATGGATCTGTATAGGTCAAGAAGGGTACCTCAGATTGAGACAAGAATATCAAATTACTTCATGATCTGAAGGCTTTCTAAAATAAAAAGAAAAAAATTTAAAAATAAAAAGATAGAATATTGCTTAGTACTTAGCAAACTTATATTGAGCCTTTTGCCAGTACATAGAATATATATTTCATCTAGAATATATATACTAGACAAAACTTTAAGAGAGAGCCTATCCAAACATGTTGCTGCTTATTTTCTCAGCATGAGTTGAGATTTTAAAAGCACTGGCTAGTATAGGTGACAAACTATTATTGTCTTCCCTTTTATCCTTGCTCCTGGGGGTAAGTCTAAGAAGCTTAAGTTCACAAAAGGGATCTAAGGAATGCTGTGTCCCCCACATCTCCCACACTCATCCAACCTTTACCCAGTTTCTAGGAGCAGCAGCTTCTGGAGAAGTTGGGTTAAGAACAACTATCAATTTTGTACCATTGATTCCAGTTTCTCACATCTCCTTCAAAGGGAGAATACCCTGGAATAGCATGGCTTCCTCCTTCATTGGTGCTAGAGGAGACACAGAAGCTAACCACACAGCCACGGGGAGGAATGCAAGGGAATGCCTGCCTGATCAGGGCTGAGCCATCTTTCCCCTCTGCAAAAACAGTGGCACAATGATATTTCAGGCTCTCCCTATGTCAGGCTCCTGACATGCACCATATGTAGCTGCAAATCCCAATCAATTTCAACATTTCTTAACTGCTGGAACGCCCTTCTCCACACTGTAATTTACCCTCATAAGAATAGGGAGCAAGCACCCTCGTCTTCCCAGTACCACATTCTACTAACTGCCGCCCCCTCCCATACCCCACTAAGGTTTGCCTACCCACGCAAGGAAGAAGGCAAATAACCTTCCTTCAAAGCCCACAACAGACTGCCACAGTATATATGCCACTGACAGAACTTTTATTTCTTTTTAATGACATTAAACACAACTGCTACAAGGGGAAAAAACATGATAAAGAGGAGGCACCAAACTTCAGTTTCATAATTGATCCTGACAACAATGCAAGTAAATCAGGGCCTGTATGAGATGCAAAACTACAGGTATTTCAGGCTCCTTACTTATAAGTAAACTATGTAAACAGCACATTTTTACTCTGCTTTGTCAAGACCTCTGTGGTGAAGGAATGTTGTCATGAAGAAAGCTAGGTAGGCAGTTAAATAAATGCACATAACACTCAAATAAGAAATACAGCAAGAATTCTACCTGAAATAATAGACTTAGAGGCCACATCAAATACAAGAGATATGCAGCTTTGAAAAGTTGTTAAAACTCAGATTCTACCCACTACCATCTTTCAGGCGAACATGCCAGATAATGAGTTTTCTTTGGCTTTGTGTTTTCTTCTTAAAGAATACCATGTTAACCACTAGAGAACAGCTCTCTCCTCCCCCAGTCCAACAGATTCAATTAAGCTGCTAAAGCTTTGGAGAAACAATTATTTGAGCTAAGAGGAAATGTGATTGTCACATTTCCTAGTTAACCTGTCACTCATTTGATTTGGCAAAGGCAGTGCTCTCCTTATACATTCGGTCTTAAACCCCTCTGTACCAGGAGTCTTAGAATTTGGCCTAAGCAAAATGCTATCCCTTTACTCCTTGAGTTATCTGTGGGAACTTGACAGCTGCAATGCTAGCTATTCCAGCTTCATTTAATTTTAACTATGCTATGGTCCCAAAGGTGGATGTTTGGCATGTCTCACTCCAAGCTAATTTAGGGTAGCTTGGAGAAGTGGCCAACATAGTAAATGCCAATTGTGTCAACTGAAATAATAGACTTTTGACTACTACCTTTGAACAGAACCTCTCCTTTGCATTTTGGTTCTAGAAGCTAAACCAAATGTCTAAGGAACAGAGAATCCTTAACTGGATAAACAGTAAATACGTAGGGACATCCATCCAAATTTACTGGTGATCTGAATGACCAAAGTATTCCCAAGTCAGTTTCTAAAGTGGGATTAGATGTTTGAGATGCGTTACTCACATACAAAGATGGGGTTGATGAAACTATAAAACAAGGTAGGGGCTACAGCAATTATGAACAACTTCAGCGAATGAACAACAGTAGCAAAAATACTAGGCTGCAAAACTTTCCAAAATGATGTCTAGAGCTATCTGCAAAGAGAGAATAACAAACTCCTAAGACATCCATTAAGACAGATGCACAAAGTCTGTCAACTTCAGTTAGAATACCAAACTTTAAGATTAGGTAATGCTTTTGTGCATAGGCTTAGTCACAACTGTATCAGACCCACTTTAGCAGTTATGTGAACTTATGCATCAGGGGCTTGACCAAATGAGATGGTAACAGCCAGGGTCTAAAGGCACCTCTTGTTAACTAATAATGGAGACAAGAGTGCCTCTCCAAAGTTTCTCTCACAGGATGGAGGCTCCCTGACTAACACCCATATTTGACACATCAACCCATGCTTAAAGCTGGGATTCAGCAGATGAAAGTGAAGACTAACTGACCACACAATGGTACTGGCCTGTCCTAGAGTCAAGACTCTGGGCAGCTCTTCAATAAAGACAGCAAGGGGGCCATTCTGAGGGGGCATATCCATGTCTGACAGGACGCAGGAAAGAATACTGCCAGTAGAACCCTAAGGAGCAGAGTGATCACTAGGTGGGGGGGAGAAAATCCTTAAAGAAGGGCAAAGGAGACAACCAGTCACAAAACCACAAGGTATTCAACAGGGGTCAGGGGTTAGTTATAAGTATTCTGTCAGAGTTAAAATGTATAAGATTTGAAAACACTACTGTGCAAAATAAGTTTAATGAGGAATGAAAAAAAGCCAAAAATAAAAAATAAATAACGGCAGCTAGTAGGCAGAGAAAGGAGAGGAGAGGACTTACACTTTTAGTTTGTCCTTTCAACAGGATTTTTCTCCTACTCCAAACTTCCTGGATTGCCAACTTTAAAACACTAAAGGCTATTCAGAGATTCAAATAAAAGAGGGGTTGTTAAAAGTGACTTATATCCATTCGCAAGTCATCAGTAATAATTAACACTGGTTTATAGCCTGGCAAAGAATCTCCTCCTTACAGGAGATTAAAAGATCACTTCTTTTGGGCACCACAAGTAGACTTCACCTCTGCAGAGATGGGTGTTATGCTTGAGCCTGGGTGTTTTGGCTTAATGCTGGCTTTCAGGAAGTAGCCACCTTCAATTTAAATAAAAACAAAAAAATAATTATATCAACTTAACACTGCTTAAACACAGACAGACACACATAAAATCAGGAGAGAGCTCATACAAAAAAAAAATTCAAGTCAGCAATGGGCATTTCCAAAAAGTAACAATTTCTTTAAATAAAAACCTTGTAAAAAATGAAATTCAAACTCTACGAAGCACAAAACAGCAGAGGAAAATGAGATGCAGCTCTGAACAGGACCCTGGATAGGGACCTTCATTGCTGATGGGATGAGACAAATGGATTGTATGAGAAATCCGGGAGACGCTGGAATCGATGGTGGCTTCGCATGTTCCTGTCAACCCACTGAGTCAGACTGTATCTTTGCAGAGTTTTCTGTCGGCGGGCGTAGTTTCTATAGAGAGAAGGAGAGAGAGAGAGAGAGAGTAAAAAGAGGATGGATGTTTCAGCAGGAATGGCTATTTGTACACAAAAAAAGGCCAGCACAACTATTTTAAGCATCTCTTTACTTCTGGAAATCAGATATTTATTTATATTTTGATTCCCAAATTTTAGAAATTTTATACTATTTATATGAAAGCCACATCATAGGTGCTATTTCCTTCCAATTCCCAAAGCTACCTAATTCCCACATAGGTATTAAGGTGGTATGTGCCACATACTCAATGTTCTAAGGAAAACTAATGTAGAATAATGTTTAAGTAGGAAAAAATTTTATCGCTCCAAAAGAATTTAGAGCAGGATCTATATTTCATTGTTTGCATCAGACCTGTACCTGTCTGACACAGCTCAAGGTTGCTCAGGACACAGCAGATAAAATTAGAATAAAATTCCCAGAGAAGGTAAGTCATCATATGAGTATCACATTTCAAGTTTAGAAACTGAAAAATTAATAGCACAGACTCAAAGTAAATTTTATTTATTTTTATTTTTATTTTTTTTGGGACGGAGTCTCACTCTGTTGCCTGGGCTAGAGTACCGTGGCATCAGCCTAGCTCCCAGCAACCTCAAACTCCTGGGCTCAAGTGATCCTTCTGCCTCAGCATCCTGAGTAGGTGGGACTACAGGCATGCGCCACCATGCCCGGCTAATTTTTTCTATGTATATTTTTAGTTGTCTGGCTAATTTCTTTCTATTTTTTTAGTAGAGACAGGGTCTTGCTCTTGCTCAGTCTGGTCTCCAACTCCTGACCTCAAGTGATCCTCCTGCCTCAGCCTCTCAGAGTGTTAGGATTACAGGTGTGAGCCACTGCGCTCGGCCAAAGTAAATTTTCTTAAGTCTCCTTTAGTCATGTGCTAGGCTGGAGTTCTGAGCAAGACCCTCTGAGATAATTTGATCCCATTCTCAACTCTAAAACTGCTCCTGATATCAATCTGGGAAGCCTTTTAAAGATATGGATTCTTGCCCCTTCCCTCCTCCCAGACTTAATGACTTAGAATCCCTGGAATCAGGGCCTGGACATCTGTATTTTTGGGTTATCTGCACAGGTAGTTATGAGGAATAGCCAAGGTTGAGAATAATTATAACAGTATCTGACATTTATCTATCCCTATATACTGGCTGAATTCTTTAAATACCTTGTCTTTCTTAATGCAACTGACAATCCTGCTAGAAAAGTAGTTTCATTAACTCCTTATACAGGGGTAAGGAAACTGAGCCTCAGGTTAAATAACCTGCCCAAGGTCATATAGTAGAGTAAGTAGAGGAGTCTGGATTTCAATTCACATCTGACTCCAGAATTTATCTAATAAAAATTACACTACATTGCCTTTCTTTCTGAGAACTGCTATGCCTTGGCAACTAACTATAGAGGAAATGTGAGTGTAAAGGCCCTGAAGAGGGGAACATGTCTGACATGTTTAAAAAACAGCAAGGAAGCCAGTATGACTAGAGTAGAGTGAGCAAGAGGAAGAGTAGTAGGAGATGAAGTTGGTGAGCCCAGGCCAAAGGATACAGGCTTTTGTAGGGGATTGTGACAATGGGAAGATGTGAGCTGAGAAGCCACTGGAAAATATTGAGCAAATATGACTTATGCTTTACAAGAATCTCTTTGGCTGTTGAGTTGGGAACAGTAGACAGGCAAGGACAGAAGCAGGGAGAACATTTAGAAGACTTGCAATAATCTAGGTGAAATGATGAGAACTGGTCAGGTTTTGGATATACAGTTGGCCCTCCATATTCGTGGGTTCCACATCCATAGATTCAACCAACCATGGATTGAAAATATTCAGGAAAAAAATAGATGGTTGCATCTGTACTAAACATGTACAAACTTTTTTTCTTGTCATTATTCTCTAAATATAGTATAATAACTACTTACATAGCATTTATATTGTATTGGGTATTATAAGTAATCTAGAGATGACTTAAGGCATACAGGAGAATGTGTATAGGTTATATGCAAATACTATACCATTTTATATAAGAGACTCGAGCATCTGAGGATTTTGGTATCCTAAATGGTCCTGGAACCAATCACCCATGGATACCAGGGACAACTGTATATGAATAGCGTACAGGATTTGCTGAGGGACTGAATATGGGGTGAGAGAGAAAGGAATCAAAGATGATCCCATGGTTTCTGAGTAACTGAATCAAAGTAACTGAATAAATCTGTAAAGCCACCTTGTATCAAAAATCCATGTTTCAGAACTATAAAGGTTCTTTGACACCAAGTAGTCCAACATCTTCATTGTACAGATGTGAGGACCAGAGAAAAGTGAAGTGACTTGATCAAAATCGTAGCTGGTTAAAAACTGCAAGCTAGTATTAGAACCCAGGTTTCCTGAATTTCATTCCAGTTCTTATTCCATAATAACGCATTGCTTTTTTTCCACCTCTCAGATTAAACAATTCCAACCCCGCCTCCCCACTACATTGCTCCTGCAGCCAAATTCTACCCTTTTTTCTCCTCCTTTTAATCATCCACTCACCTCATGGTGAGGTCCGAAGGATGCTGCCATTTTGAGTTCTGCATATGATGAACTTCCATCAGGGCATATAGCTCCTTCCAGGGACCTGTGATATAGAGGGATTAGTGGTTAGGAAGCAGCTAAGTGAACTACTATGTCAGCCAAGGTCAAAGTGTATGCTTTGAGGGAAAGAGAAAACAGGCACTGGTCTCAATAATACCTACTTATGATTTGCACAAGCAGTCAGCATAAAAACTACAAACCAGAGTTGGGAGCTTGCCCTTCAATGATGATGGTGAGCAATAATGGCAGCCACCATTCATTCATTCAACATTTACTAGCTTTTACAACATGTGAGGAACTTTACTGGTCCCTAGGAATATGGCAGTGAACAAGACATTGTACCTCAATGAAGTTTATAAAGGAGACAGATATTTCCAAAACAGTGTGATGAATGCAGTGATAGAGAAATACAGGCTGTTACAGAGACTAGTGGGTGTTAGGAAAAGCACCCTCCAGGGGAAGTAAAGAGATCTAAAGGCTGTATAAAAGTTAGTGAAGTAAAGTGGGGCAAGAGGTTAGATGTCTAAGAGAAATAGTCAATACAAAGGCCCAGAGACAAAAGACAGCAAATATATTCAAGAAACAAAAGGAGTTTAGAACAGTGGAGATGGATGCTCTTTGCTAACAAGAAAAATTGCTATAGGCAATTTCTTAAATACCTGGGGGCCTGGCAATGTACTAGGTACTTTACATGTTATCTTACTTAATTCTAAAAAACATCTTATATGGAGATAGATGTTATTAATGTTATTTCAGAGATGGGAAACTGTGGCTCAGGGAGGTGAACTTGCCTTAAATGCTTAATAACCCAGGTTTCAACTAGCTCTTGTGTGATGCCATGCTCTTGCTGCTATGCAATAATGCAAACTTTGCACTTAAGGGCTGAGACTTAGGCTGAAACCCAGTAGAAACAGAAATAAAACACTAGTTAGGAAATAATTTCCCTGGACTAGTGGTTCTCAAATTTTAACAGGTATCATAATCAGCTGGAAGTATTATAAAACAGATTGCTGGACCCAGATCCCAGGGTTTCTGATTATGTCAGTCTGGGTGAGGCCTGAGAATTTGCATCTAACAAATACCCAAGTGATGCTGATGTCACTGGTCTGAAAACCTCACTTCTGAAAACCTCACTTCAACATCCACTGCCCTGGACAGTGGAGACCTTTTGCTCTGCTAATTTACATGTTTTCATTACCTTATCTACTATGCTTTCAGGAACCAAGCACAGTCTCTAACAAGGCTATAGACCATCTTTCAAGTTCTAGTAAAGGTAACATAACTTTTAGGACCAATTTATTTTATCTGAAGCCTCAAGAAGCAGAGCTTTGTAGAAAAAGTATACCGTATACTTTGGAGTTAGGCAGACTTGAATTAAAATTCCAGTCCAGCAACTAGCTCTGTGACCCTGAGCAAATCATTTCACTTCAAGCCTCACTACTCATCTATGAAAAGTGGACAATAATACTATTTAGCTTGAAGTTGAGTATTAGGAATATTGTATATAAAAGACGTAGTATATTGCTTGGCACAGAGCATGTGTGCAGTGAGTGGTAGCTATCATTATGGTATCATAGCCTCAGGCCTATGTTAGCTCACAAAGACTGCAAATCCTGTGACAATCACCTTCTATTTTTAAGGAAAAATGTTTATTAAATGGATTCATCTATACATAAACTACGACATGTTTTATGGCACTCAGAAATTTTTTTCTAACCATGATAATACTTTTCGGGAAAAATTTATAGATTCGTTACATTAAAATCACAAGTTTATATATGTTTAAAATAAAAAAGCACAACCAAGGGTAAAAGATAATTGACAAAATGAAAACTGTATTTGAAACACATTTGGCAAAAGTTTAATGTCCTCTTAAGTCTCTTCATTAAAAAAAAGGGGGTCAAGGACATGAATAGGCAATTCACAAAAGTAATACAAATGATCAATAAACATGAAAAGAATGCTCAGTCTCACTTATATGGAAAAAACATATTATTGTTACTACTTGAGAATGAAATATAAGTCAGAAATTAATTTCTCCTTTAAGGGAACTAATTTTTTTTTTTTT